GGCGGGGGGGGGGGTTTTCCAAAGGTAAACACCCCTCCTTTTTTCCCGGTGTTTTCCTTTAAAAAAAAAAAAAAGAGGAAACACGAATATCCAGCGTGTATATCCCTCTTCCTCCCAAGCTGTTTCGGGCTTGGAGTTCAGAAAATAAATAAATAAAAGCACCTGAAGTCAAACTGGAGGGAGGGGCCTGAACTTTTTTTTTTAACAACAGATGTAGGCTTTGAAAATGTCCTAAGTGTTGCAGGTGGTGGAAGAAGAAGACATCAAATGAACTGAAGTAGAAGTTTAAAAAAATAAAAAATTAATGCTATAAAGCTGTGTTGGCTTGGTTTGGTCTGGGGTCTTCACTGGAGAGCCTCACGTTGAATAGGTGGAGTTGTCTCCACCTGTATCTAAATCCTGTGTTGTACGGAGTATGACGGAATTGTTTTCTGCTTCTAAATGGCCGCGTTGCCCTTCAGAGGGAAAATTATGTGTTTCTGCACTCTTTGCGTTATGAAGGTATTTGCTGTTTGTGTTTACCTGACCTAAGCAACCTTTTGTCATTTAAGAAAAGGCGAACAAGCACCCAGGAAAACTCGTCCTTGAACTCCTGAAGCCAGAAACTGCTTCTATGTTTCTCTTTTTTATTTGCTCTGCTTATTGAGATTGCAAACATTATAAAATGCAGAACTGAGATAATACACTTTTCCTTGAAAGGAAAACAGCTTGAAAAGATAAACACAAGCATACATACTGTACCCAAAATTACTACAGTATTCGGAAGATTCAAGAAAATGCATGAATGGCATAAAACTTCTCTTTCAATGAAGAAGTTCCTCAGGTTTTTTTTTCCCTTAAAATTCTAATAACTCCGGAGATGTAAAGCAAAAAGTTTGTCTTCACCTGTCTTAATTAAATTACGATTTAAAATGTCCAGCTGCTATTGAGAACAGTTTTACTGCTAATAGTTTCTTGAGTTATTTCACTCCTAAATATGCCTTCTATATATCTTTTAACTAGGAGTCAGTGCAAATACATACATGACCCAGAATTTTCATGTTGTGTTTCCTCTTTTACCATTTATAGCTCTATAGAGTTGCATTAGAAATGTGTTTCAGGTGTGTCAGAGAAGAAATTTCAAGTCTTTCATTAAGCAGGGTGGAACGGCATTAGTCAGAGGTTGAAATGCATGTGTCACACTTGTGTAATTTAATGTGCTCCATTGGCTTGCAAAGATGGAATACTATATTCAATTGCTGTGTATTTTCCTGAAAGTGGTAGACAGTCTT